TTTTTAAATATATGATAGAAATATATGTAGTATCTTAATACGCATCAACATATGTGGAATAATATTGATTCCAATTGAATCTAATTATTAATATTCATAATTGAATAAAATAATAGTAATAAACTACTTTTAAATATATGATAAAAATATGATTTATACATTATTAATACATTATATGTGGAATAATATTGTATCAATCTCTGTAAATATTTCCAGACATTAGCGAGAGTTCTTGCTGCAGTGTTCAAAACCGCATGCTAATCCATAATTAAAAGACCAATTTGTGGCTGTTCCATCCTCTCATCCCCTCCTTCAGCAGTACGTGCTGACTGAACACGTTCGGTGTATTATAGCATCATCTTCTTAGAGTCTATCCTGAGGCCACTGCAGTCTGTTCATCCTCACTCACTATCTATGAGACACAACAGAATGCAGGAAGGCACTTTTGTGTTCTTGAGAGAGTGGCTCTTTAGAGTGCGGACAGGCCTCTGCCTGTCTCAGATATGCAATCCAGCCGGATTCAAGGAGAAAATGTGAGCAATGGGTGGATGAATGTTGTCAACAAGTCTCAACACACCAGTGCTGTTGTTGACCTGATAGTGGCATCAGGGCTGAGAGAGAGAAATAATCTAGAACCCCTAACCACAAACATAACTGTCCATCCTGTCCTTTCAGTTTCCCATTTTTCCATCAGTTTTATTCATTAGCTATTCCAAAAGCTCCATTATAGATGGATGGATGTAAAAATGTATTACAACAAGGTTTTGCTGACCTTCGCTGTCTTTTTCAGATACGGCCATCTGTCATCACCTGTGTTTCCTCTGCAACAAGGTCAACAAGTAAAGACTGCTGCAATCACTCCACTAGTAAGCAAAAAGCTGCAAAAGAGCTTGGCGTTCCTCCTTTAACATGTCCGTGCAGATCTTTTCATCGGAACGAATAGTTTTTGTACATCATTATCTGATTCTGTCTCTCTATAGTTGTTACCCAGCACAGTTATGACCACATTGAAGAGCATTTCCAGAGGAGTCTCGGGATGAACTACCACAGAGCCACCTCCATCAGCGTATCTGTAGATGACCACTTTGCCAAAGCGCTGGGTGATAAATGGCTCAAGCTCAAAGCTTCATCCTCCTCCTGCCATTCATCCTCTTCCTCATCTTCTTCATCTCCACCCAGCAGTCCGACCTTCATCCACTCGCCCAGCTACAGCCAGAGTCCCAAAAGGGCTTGCAAAGATTCAGTCAGTCCTACCACGACCACACCAAACCTATGGTCTGATAAATGAAGAAGAGAGAGAAGTTTGATGTAGATATGACAAAATGGACTCAAGATGCATGTGTAGGCATGCATTTCTGCTGTAAAAAGCCAAAGGGAGATTGTGCGGTGATGAGATGTTGTAAAAGTTGTCATGAGCAGATGAGGAATTGTTAAATCATCTTTAAAAGGGAGATTTTCAAAGTCTGACCTTTTTTGGATCATTTCATGGTAGCTAAGCATTGTTGGAGTTGGCTTTTGTCATTGGTTTTGTGGGTGCCACTGGTTTTTATTTGTTGACTGTGATTGCACTGATTATTACTAGTAACATTTCATCGTCTGTTGTAAGCTTTCTTCTGCAAACACGTGCATATTTATATTAGACAGTGTACCAGAATCTTGTAACCTAAAAGGAGCACTGAGCAAAACAGACCAAAAAATACTAGGTCAGAAAGTTTCATGTTTTAATTGAAAATAAATGCTTGGAAAAAAGAGGTGGGTAACTGTTTGGCATCTCTATATGGGCTACTGCTGTTCATTTCAATCCTTGTGTAAATTTCAAGCTTTTATACTGTTGTACATATTTGTAATAAACACATTTTTTTAAACGCATTAGTAGTAGAATTTGTTTTGAATTAATGCTTGTAAAAATTGATTGAAATGTAAATATATTTGTAAAAACATTTAGTAAAAATCTATCCTGAAATGCACATTCCTAGTCTTGTTGTGAACAAATAATAAGCATATGTTCAAAAGTTTGAGGTTTCAGTACTTTTTTTTGTTTGTTTGTTTTTTTTGGTAAAGAAATTATTTTTATTTAGTAAGGACACTAAATTTTATATATTTTTTAAAAAATATTTCAAATACATGCTATTCTTTTGAACTTTCCATTCATCAAAGAATTTCTGAAGACTGGAGTTATGATGCTGAAAATTCAACTTTGCCATCACAGGAATAAATATCTTTTAAAAAGTATTTTAAAATAAAAAAATAATCATTTTTATTTTTATTAAATTAAAATTTTTTATTTTAATAATTCACAATATTACTGTTTTCACTGTATTTTTGATCAAATAAATGCAGTCTTCTTTCAAAAAATGTAAAAAAAAATCTTACAGACCCCAAACTTTTTAACAGTAGCGCAAGTTATTCCAGTGTACGTTATATATTTGTCTTTGTAATCTCTCATCAAACTTGTAGTAATAACTTGCTCCGCCACTTTTAATAATCAAATGCATTCCTCATAGTTAAACTGATGTTTCACTATCCCAAAGAAAATCATTTAAACTTTTCAAACATTTTAAAAGCAAGCAAAAAATACACAGTTATGCTCTTCCTATTGAAGTCGAACAACATTACGGGTCAAACTATTTTCTGAAGTAATCAACATTTCTTTAAGCACAAAGCTAACAGGTTAATGAAGTAGATTGACATGCAGTCATCAATAGGTCTTTCATTTTCAGAAGAGTGTTGACATTAGATTTGTTTCACTCTGTCAAACATCACCTTTCATGCTAAATGCCCTTAGACTTGCAAGGGTCATACAGTAGTTGATTTTATTTTCTCCATCAGAAATCAATAGAGAAAGATGTTGTATGTTTATGTAAATGATCGTTATGGGAAGGTAAAATTAGTCAGAACGTTATAAGAACACTTGGGTCATAATTTCAGAGGCCAGATTCAAGTTGCGTTTACCAGCACTTATATATAAACTTACTTTGCCAGCAGCTAAATCGCAAATAGATTTGACCTCCTTAGATTGTTTATGATAAATAGGAATCAGTTGGAAAACAACTTCCATGCCTGCTAAAAAAAAATATCAACTGCCAGTTAGATCAGATGCAAAACTTGTCAATCACAAGATCAGGTTCAAGAAGCTGAGAAACAGGTTTGAATGAAGATTTGCTGGCACAAAGGTACAGTAAAAGCCATTGAATGGAGTTCAAAGAAGTCTTGTTGTTGCCAAAAGCCCTGCCTTCTATACTCTGCTGCAGGCTTGACTGGCCTCATACAGGGGAGAATCTAGTGTTTCTCAGAGAACAAAATGACTCATGCTCAGTGGCTTAGATCTCAAGGTGTTGCAGTAACATGATGTCCTTGTGGAATGTGGACACCTCAAGGCAGCTTTAAGTCACAAGAAAGGTTAGTATAGATGACATCATTGTCTAGCAG